CTTGAAAATGTTACTCAATTTTTTACATCTATACCAGCAGAATATGATGGTAATTCGGTCTAGATTTTTCCCATTCAGTAGAAAATTTAATTTGACTGTTGGCTGCACACTACCAACTGTGTGACTAACACACAGATGTGAAGTGCTGGATTTAATGGGATAATAATTGTCAATCCCATATATTGTCCAATCATATTGTCAGTGTGGTCCATTTTTTCTTTGGAATGGAATTGTAACATTCTTACCTAAAAAACTACAAACACTAATTTAAATAAGAAAACCATCTGACATCCAAAAGTTTTTATATGGATTTCCAAATGCATGGAGTTATTAATGACTCAGAAGGAGCAACTTGCAATGAACATTTGCAAAACAATCACAAGGGACTTTAGACCAGTTAACATTGCTGACGATCTGCAAATTATCAAGCAAACTCTCAAGGTGTTCTACTACAAGACAAGACTTCCATTTACTTTTTTTTTTAGTTTTGATGTTTTCCTTGACATTCTCCTTATCAATAACTCATTTGGATTAGTCACAAATAAAACAGGTGTAAAACGCATGCATCCACCTGCTGTAGAAATATTAAAACATGTCATGCAAATTTTGGATTATCCTTAATAACGATTAATTCCCACCTTGAATGTGATTAATCATATTAAATATTTTTATTCATTTGACAGCCCTAGTATGACGGTAAGTTTTTTTCGTGATCCAAATGAGGTAAATATGAAAAAAAAAATAGCGATGTTTTTATTTTTCGTTTTACTTTCTCTTTTGCCCTATGGAGGCCTCTTCACTGAGGTCTGCTTGTGTACTTTTCTGACTAGTGAAACAAACGCCAAAAAACTGATGTAGTGGAAAGAGGGGAAAGAGAGAAGAAAAATTGTCTCTGACTCATTCAATAGGTTGTGCTTCCTCTCACAAACACACAGACATTGAAGACTCCTTTCACACTCACTTTTTAACAGTACTGGATAAGTATTGTACTGGATAATACTTACAGGTGAGTGTGAGTGTGTTTCTCTCCGCCCACTCTTTCGTCTGTCTGGGGCTTCTTTACAAAGACAGTGGAGTTCGTTTTCCCAGCAATGCTGTGGTTTTTCTATCATCTGTCTGTCTGCTTGCAGGTCAACTTTTAGTTTGCAGCGTAGAGTAAAGACTTTAAATCGCACTCGACTCGCGTTCACTTCCTTGTTTGAATCAGCAGCTGTCCGCTCTGCTCTCTTTCTACTTCCTGGTTGAGACAGCGAGTGAGTGAGATCGACAGAGACACATAGAGGCCGGAGAGAGAAAACCTCCCAGAATAACATCCACCCCACGCGATAAACGTTCAACCGAATAATTAACACACATTTTGATAATTATTTCGCAAATATTAAAAAAAAAAAAGTTTGTTCTTTAATTTTTTTATTACTATCATTATTTCTTCTCAACTCAGTCTATATGAAGAATGTGGCTAGGAACCGAATAACTTTATACACTCACTCCAACTTTAATTCAGACCTTGGGCAATGTACCGGTCCCATTTGTTGTCAGTTTTTCAGATTCTGGTTTTACCTAAACACAGCATACACTTCTGTTATGCGTCATCTTTCTTTAGGCTGTCTTACATATTTTAGTGTGGCTTATTGAAGTTATTTCAACAGAACTTAAGTTTTTCTAGTTTTTCTGTCTGTTCTTTTGAAGAGATTTAGTCTTCGTGACACTTCAGTTTAGTTCAGAGCTCAGTCACTGACCAAAAGCCACTCCAGTCCTCAGCACTAGAAATTTTTAGTATGTCAATTTCAATTCCTTTATAAAGTATATCTTGAATCCTACACCAAAGGTCTTCAACACGGGGTCTGCAACACCTTCGGGGTCCACACAGATATGCAGAGAAAGGGGTTGTGGGAGTGGAATTGTTTATATATATATATATATATATATATATATTGTTCCCTTATTTCCACATTTTCAAATGTGTACAAACGAGTCTACATCAGAACATAAACAAACAACCAGAAAATACATCACTGTACTTTGCTCTTCCTTTGCCTTTAATTGTCTTTTCCCTTTCATAACGTGGTTCACCTCACAGTGGTAGTAGTCAGAACAGTGACCCTTTATGACTCCAACTTAATCTGGGATTAAGTTCAAAACCTCAGACTTCGGGTAGCAGAGGACTGCTTCTCTGCTGTCACAGCACTGAAAACAATCAGGTTTGGACAGAATTAATTATTTACCGATTCATACATCTCATACATGCAATGACTTTTAAGATAATATTAAGTATCTTTCTGGAGGAAATTCATACATGATGTTGCAATTATGAGGTTTAATTGTATTTAGAGAAACCAAAACTGTTACATGTGGGTGACCAAAAGCATTAAACAGTATTCTAAGAAAAAAGAAAAAAGCAATATTGTGGGATTTGACTGTTTAGGCGAGTTGACATCATTGTGCATTCAAACAGGTAATTACATAGACATGACTGACAGCTTCTAGATTACACTAAAATGAGTTTATGATGCAACAGCAGGATAAGGTTCTGCAGGCAGCGTAAACAAATGTTGGATTCTAATCCTAGTATTATTGGAAGGATTTTTTTTTTGGTCCACCAACCCTTCTGTTACCATATAATACAGAATTTAGAGACAATGATGCAGGATTAGTGGGATGAAGAGAGAAAGGGTGAAAGGGAGAGATGGAGGAGAAACCTGCTGTTCTCAGTAGACAGCTCTAAAGACAATACTGAGTTCAGCTTCGCACAAGCTGTTCTCACACCACAAATAATCCTCAATCACAATCCAAGTTTGCCTCTAGCATCATTTTTATGTGGGCAAAGGTGCTATCTTTGCTTGTTTTGAAGTGGACTGACACCAAAAACAGATGTACTTTAGGATAAACAGAACACATGACTTAGTTAAAAAAAACTTCAGCTGACAAAATAAGATTGCATCTCAGTGAGTGCTGCTAATGTTGAACAGGTGTAATGACTAGGAGTGAAATATATACTGTATTAGTTGTAGGTAAGTAGAAGCTGGTAATCATGGTAGTGTCTGTTCCAACAGACGATTTATAGCAAAATTACATTCAAGCATGAATTAGTTTCTATCCCTGAACATAAAAGTGAACACCATCAATACACTCACAAAAAACTCTGCTAAAAACTGCTAACCTTTTATTACATACTGTACATTGCAAATAGAAAGCTTAGAACTGTCGTGCTTTGACTACTTTGAAGCTAACAATGTGTGAGCATAGCTTGTGAGTGTGTGTTCCTCTCCTGTTCTACACAGAAGACATTTACAAAATGAACGGCTGGTGAGAATCACATCCAAGCATGAATCATTTTTATTCCAGAACGATCATTTCACACGCAAAGAAAATTGACTCAGTGGCCTGCAATTCTTCAGAATAAGTGTGTATTATGAATGCATAGGGATACTGGCAGAAAGTTTGATTAACTTTGTGAAAAAAGTGTTGCAAGCTAAGTTTGTTTACCTAAATTGCGTTTCTAAATCTCTGGTAAGCACTCTACTTGGAAGCTGGCACCGCATTGGACTCATCAGGCTCTTGGAAATAGTAGGCACTAATGACGGGGAGGGTTTGGCAGACCAACAAAAAAGAGAGAAAATATTGTCCTAATGCTTCAGGTTCAACATTGTTTCGTTGGCACCAAATCAGTCCCTGGTTGCAGGATTAAATAAATGTTGGTGTAGTCAAGGAAGTAAACATTTTATTTTCCTTTTTTCCTCATGAAATGTATTCTGTTTCCCAGCTTTTAAATTGCTCTCTGAATCCTCATTTGTATTCTTTTGACGTTTTCGCCACCTACTATCATCCGTTTACTCGACTGGAGAGACAGAAAAAGCACTAGGTTTTCCTAATACTTGCTTCTTCTTTTTTTTAACGCTACTGTAGATAGGATGTAATGGAAAACATGCTTTTTTTTTTATAAACAGTGACCTTCATGCTTTGTTTTTTGTATTTGAATAAATTGTATTAAAATGTGTGAGAAAAAATGATAAAGGATCTGAGGAAGAAAAGACAAAAATGAAGGCTGTGATTTAGTTGAGAAATGTGGAAGTAGATGTTGATGTTGTGGTGGTAGATGTAAAGGTACATTTTACCATTTATATAACGGAAGAAAACTCTCTCTTGTGGTGGCAGATCTGCTCAGTTTTAATCACATACTCGGTTCTTTCTTATTTGAATGTAATAGAATGGGAACTGCAGAAGCTGCCCTACATTCACCTGGGATCAGCTGTGATTGGCTGACGCTCCCTCGTGTGACTCTTAACAGTAAAAAGCTTTAAAGGGTGAGTTATTGAAATCAAACACAAGTCAAACATGCATTATTATATATATTAAAACAGCTAACTGAAATAAATACAAAAAGCCTTTTTAGTAATTACCATAAGATATCAACAGACAACATAAATGGACAGAAAGACTTGAAGTGGCAAAGCAGATAAACCCAGTGTAATGTGACGGTTTCCAACTGCTCTTATCAGCCACTCACAACCACTTTGTAAACACAGTAACTGTCTTACACCATTAGCTGGAGGGCAATCATGTGCATCTGGCAGTTTCCTGCCAGGCTTGCTTCTGTTCCGAGCTGTAGAATTAGGTCACCAGGGGATGTTGGTATCAAAACGTCAGAATCAGCCTTTGTGAAAGACTGACATCTCACCAGCTTTGACCACTTACTGTACTGTAGGCCCAGGCTTCTTTTTTTTTCCTGAAGGCTTTTTACTTATCACGTCCTCAGCGATGACTAACAAAAAAGAAGACATGGAATAAATGCCTCTAACTTTTCTTTTGCATTTTTGGTGAATTCATTGTTGAATTCATTCATGTTCAAAAGCAAAAGAAAAAAAAAGATTTAATGTTCAAAAGCAAAAGAAAAAAAAAGAAAAAAAAAGAAAAGCAAAATTACATCTAAACCCCTGCTGGTACCAAACAACAATAGCAGATTTACATGAACAAACAACAACAAACTTTTTTTTGAAAACATTGAGTTAGCTCATGACATTTTCCCCATATGACTGCTTATTTACCACCGTCATCATTAATAGTGTAACTTGTAACAGCTAGTGAATGCTCTAAACCCATGTTGTTGAACGTCTGCTACCGCTCCCCTCGCTTTTTTCCCTATTTTTCTTCCTTTGCAGATGCAGACAGCTGAGCACTGAGACTGTATCTGCTGGAGATTTCTCCTGGTTAAAAGGGAGTTTTTTTTTAGCTTGGTGTGTGATCTAACTTAAATGTTAATATAAACTCTTAAAATATATCTTAATTGTAATATAATGAACAAACAATTGAGTTCATTGAGGCAAAACTTTTCGTTCTGTGAATTTGGGCAACACCAATTAAATTGAGTTGACTTGATTTGTTTAACTGGCATATGTCTATTAAATATTGCTGGATTAATTTAATCACCATCACATAGACACCATTTAAGGCCCATCTTTCAATTTAAAGTTGGATTTCTGCCCAGAAAAAAAAAATTTAAATAAATAACAAAAGTATATGTCCCATTATAATTTATACTGTATATCTATCACATTTAATGAGGCAAAGTAGCCTACCGTATTTCACAGCTAATTGTTTTTGCAGACTGTGTAAATTTTGTATACATGTACAACTTTTTGATGCTATTCCTTGGGTTACAGCCCCACATTGTTTGGTAACGTTGCTACAAGCTGTAGACTGTAATAAATGCTTGCAGAATTTATGATCTGCCTCTGGCTGCTGGAGTGAGTGTGAGCATGAAAGCAAAGGAAGCTGAACAACTTTTGAAATATTCCATTGGATGTTTTCACACAAAACAAAGGTGGGAAGTTTGCAAATATAACGGCATGTGCCAATTGGATCGTTGGAAACGTCCTGAAGGGAAGTGAGAAATTAGATATGGCTAAAATAATAGATCATAAAAGGTGACATTGTGTCAGCAGCTATTGGCGTTCTCCAGTTTTGTAACCTGGAGTTTCAACTTTTGTTCTAGAAACAAAACTAGTCAACAAGAGGGTCAAAAATTTTACTTTTACTGTTCATTTTGAATCAGTTACACTCGCAATAATATTCAAATGGGTGCAATGACGATAGTAAGAAGAGTGTCTACTATTTTATGTCCCAGAACAAATTATTATTAAATTGTTCAGGAAGTGTGTATCAAACAAGTAGCTCTTCATATGACTAAATGCCCTTGAAGTAGCTCTCAGTTCCAAAAAGGTCGGAGACCCCTGGTTTAGATGAACATACAGTACCACACAAGTCAACTACAGTCTACA